TACCGCTTTTCTCGAACTTAGGGGAACCTGCTCGTTGTCATGGGGAATAGGCAAAAGGGACTGAGGCGGCAAGGAAACCGACATCTTGCCTTGTCTTGCGTTTCATTTATTCTTGAAAATCAAAATTTAGTTTGGATAGGTTTGCTTTTCGAGGCGAATATGGAGTGTGCACGGGTTCCGAAACAGCGCTCGCCGAGGTCAACAGACAGCTTGAAACCTGCAACTCAATCATCATTTTGGGTTCACAAATTTTAGAAATCGCTGATAAACATGTATACCGAGTAGATGCCCCCCGCGGAATAGGATATGCATGGAGATGTGTGCGCTTGGCCTTCTCATGAGGATCTAATGCTCAGGGGACCACAAAGATTTGGGGGAGCACCTTGGCTCATGTCTCCCCCTCACACTCACGCTGGCGGACATTTTCAAAACAATATAATTTGCAATTGAAAATTGACTGATTTCAAGCGATGTAGCTCTGCTTGTGCAGATCTAAGGTTCCGCGATGCGCGTTCTTCAGCACGCCGGCATTGCTCGCCAAGGGATCTGCAGGGAGGCGCTGACTCCAACAGCGAACACAACTTTGGCTGCAAATATAGCTTCCTTCTGTATGAGCTTAGCTAAAAGCCTTGCTTTTTCAAAGCTCTCTTAATTTTTCCTCACCGGCTATTTTTGAAGGTCACTCCTCAAAGATGTTTCATTGGAGCGTACCACTACTCCTAAGCACTTTGTTCTTGGTGCTGAGAGCCTCAACTCTCGGTGCCTCAGCAGGAAGTGGATCAAATATCAAGTACACTGCAAGCCTCGGTAAGTAGCAAGCCTTTACCCAGCTGTTTACTGGAGCGCACGCTGGCTTGCCTTCAGGAGTACAGAGACACGATCTCAGGCGACTCCTACAAATGAGTACTGCTTCACTTCTTCAAATCCATTCTATTTTTCAAGAAGTGTCCCCAGCTGAAATATCACAAAATATAATTGTGCCCGAATGTCTTCGGTGCAGGAGAAAGTGTCGAGTGCCTCAGCGAGGTCAACGCTGCACGTGAGGCAGCTGGGCTCCCCAACTTCACAGCGGCATCAGATAACAATAAATTAAACGACCCCACAGGAATAAGTCTAGATGAAACCAACGAGTGGACAAAAGTTTGCACACATTTGATTCCGGTAAGCGGAACAAAATATGATCAACGTCGTGACAAAAAAGGTTATTCAGTATTGTAATATTATCTTCTTCCTTTGTTCAGACGGAAGCACCGGAAGCAATGGCGGCGCCCAGCGCACTGAAACCTTTTGAAGACGGAACGTATGCCTTCAAGTCTCTAACTGCTGCGCAGCCTAACTGCAAGGAAACAGTTGATTACTGGAAGGCAGCCTACAAAAACTTCACTGGCCTTCCGCCATCAAAGACTGACGGCGAAACACTGTACAACAATCAAGATAACGTTTCTTTTGTAGCCCTCTACAACCCTTCATCCAATGCCACTGCAGACTGCCGAGTCGTCACTTGCACTCAAACGACTACCTCCACTACAGGTGGCACAGAAGGTGGAATGCTCTCAACTTATGCGGATGACGGAACTACAAAAAACGGTTACGCGTTGATTTGCAAAACGATGCCTGCTGTTTTTGGGAGTAGCGGCTCTGCTTTATTCACGTAAGCAACACTCTGGTCCTTGCGTCGCAGTGCTACCCAGAACGCCTTCATTGTTATGAATTGAAGTGAATATTGTCTACTGGAATGCGGGTGGTTTGCAGGCAGGAGCAGTGGGACAGGATCATATCTTCCCTCACAGGCTCCGCATCAACAGCAGTTCCAAGTTTTGTTGCTCTTGCCATTGTGACATTCGGCATCGCGACTTTATTATGATGACCATCGTACCAGCTGGAAAGTGCTACCTGAGCCGTACTCTGTTTGATTTTTGGTGCAATGTTGGGGCGTAGCACATATTTCGACCAGGAAACTTTTTCATGCTTTTTCAAACCATCGCTCCTCAGGCTTCTTCCACTTGTGCCTAACAGGTTACTCGCAACTCCGTGAAGCACTACATGCATACAGCATTTTCTAGGGTTCTTAGATACCTATGTTTGCAGCTTCAGCTCTTTTCAATGACAAACTGTGCTTCTACTGTAGCGCCTGCCAGTCATTCGCTGATTTGGTGATAGAGCAAGGGAAACGTGATGATGAGGCGTTGTATGCTGGCACACTAGTTTGGCCCCTCGGCCAAATAGTATACTTCCCATGGAGAATCAATAGAATTATTTACGAAGTCTACCGTTTCTCGAGGTAGTATAATGGGATTGGAGGTAATATGGAGTGCCTATGCCAGCGTCAGCATTCGCCTGCCACACGCACTTAGTGTTGGAACTTGCAGCAGCACACTCCCTACCAGTCGTAAGTGGCAGCTTCTAGGCTGCTTTGTGTGCGCAGGAGGAGGGCTCTCTAAGTAACTGCATAGGAGCC